CTATATTGGTCGCTGATTTGTTTTTGTTTTGTTTTTGAATGTCAGAAATGTATATTTGTGAATGTGGAGATGTTATATTGGTTTCACTGGTAAAAACAAATAATTGAAATGGGTGTATATTTGTTTTTTGTTAAGTTGCCTAATAATTATGCACAGTAATAGTCACCTGCACACACAGATATTAATGAGTTTTTTTTTTTGGGTTCATTGAGAACATGGTTGTTGTTCAATAATTATTCCTCAAAAATACAACTTGCCTAATAATTCTGCACTCCCTGTATATATAGATAGATAGATATGGAATATAGAGGTTGGGACTTGCAGTGTTTATGCAAAGTTTTATCATGATTGGTTTACTCGTCTTGAGTGATAGAGAACACACACATGCTCTACGATCATAGTATGAACAGCACTGAGCTGCTGGCATTTGGATGATTAACTGCTCATTAACAAATATCTAAACAGGTGTGCCTAATAAAATGGTTGGTGCATGCAAATCTCACCCTTTATTTAGTGACAAATGATAATCGTGACAACAGATTTCAAATAATAAGAAATGACTACTTTTTTTTCTCACATTACTGTATTTTATTTTGAAGGAAGACTTGCTGTCGTCTGTAACTGCACTGTTAATACCATGTCCTCTCATGTATATGTCCAAAAAACATGATACAACAGTAGAGAGAGGTGGTTTATGTGCTCTGGAACAAAGAAAATAAATCAATTTAAAAAAATCCAAACTACAACAAGCACACAGGAGGTGCAAGAAATCTAGAGTGCGTTTGCTTGTACAAATCAAACTGCAAAATTTCAGCTGAACGCACGCACAGTCACACCAGCTGTCCAAGCGGACACACTGAGGATCATTGAAAATAAGTTAGGATACACACACCCTGAGAATGTCTTTCTGCTGTGACCTTTTCCCATTGTTAGCAGGGTTTCAATGAAGGTCAACTTTGTCTTTTAGTTGCACATAAGCAGTGAGACACTCCTTTAATCCTTTGCACAGCAGTTTTGAAAGCCCACATCATGGGTCACAATAATAATGACAAACCACTTTAGACAGCTTATGGATGCTGACATTAAAAAGGAGTCACTGAGACTGAGTAATACTTCACGCATTTCACTCTCACACACACAAAAAAGAATGTGGAAGCACACTAACACGTCTGGTATCGGATGAGTTCACGTTGTATAGTGCATTTCTGTCTGTGTTGTACAGTCGAAGCAGAAAAATGTAGGAGCAAAAATATCTTAGAAACTTTTTGCAAGCATTGGCAAAAATATGAGAAGGACCTGCACCATGAAAAGGCTGATTCGAGCTCCATTAGCTTCTACAAACAGGTTCAAGCCTTCAGTTTTTCATATCATTTCTAAACTATGTAAATATCCTGTACTTGCTACTTTTTAAATGTTACATATCTGTAGCTCTTCCCTGTTTTTGACACAATGATACAGTGTTGCAAAATTTACACATGGTCATAGTTCCAAATAGCACACACACAAAAAAGCAAGCTTCCAGAAAGTGGCCAAACAGAAGAAAGTGGAGTTTTAGGGAGAGGAGACCCTTAAAGAGACTGGTCATTACTGAAACATGTGCAGTAAAGCCCCAGCAGTTTAACTACTTTCTGGATATTATGGTTAGATTTTATTTTTAATGTATTTTTAAATAAATGGCACTGACCACAGCAGAAACACGCAAATTCAGATTTCAGGATGGAGTTCTCCTGTCAGCATTTTGGTTAAGCACGCGTATAATTTACATACACAGCACAAGTCCAGTATTTTTAGTCAGCCAGTGTAAAAAAGGCACATTATCACTGCATAACAGAACAAAACCAGTAAAGGAGGAACAGGGTCAGAGGTCAAACATTAGTGATGGGATTTCCAGCTCTTTTTAGAGAACCGGCTCTTTCAGCTCGGCTCGCTAAAAAGAGCCGGCTCTTTCGGCTCCCAACCGGCTCTTCAGGTTGTTTTGTTGCTTGGTGGTTTTATTTATATATGTTTATATATAAATATATGTGCTGGCCCCAAGAGACAAAACACGTACAAACTCCAAAACACATTCCTAGCGTTAACTGAACTTCAAAACAGAGCTACCTCGGTCACTTAAATTACACAATTGAAAGCATGTGTGTATTGTTTGTGTATTTATACACAAGCACTCATATATATATTCAAATAATAAAAATTTAAAAAAAGTTCATTTACCTGTTACTACCGCACACCAAATCAAGTCATTGGTACTTGCTGGCTTGTGTAGCCACCAGGTAACAAAAGCTCAACACTGTGCCCAGCATCCTGGAGCACTTCTGTTGTGTTTTGTACGTGCTTCTTTTAACTATATGAATGTTCAGCTTTTTCCTTTAAACCAATTTAAAGTGAAACAAAACAAAACACTGGAAATCACAACACAATTCAATATAAATAAAAATAAGATGCATATCCTCTATCTTATGGGCCTGCATGAATAAACTTTCTGAATCCTTTATCATCCACAACTGAATACAGTTGACGTTGTTGTCCCTGGCTCCCTTTCTCTCTCTCTCCCTCCCGCTCTGTTCCTGTGCTACTGCGAGTATAACTACCGCCCCTCCCCTCTCTGCCCAGCACAAAGCACAAAGCACAAGGCTCGCGTGTGAGTGAAGCGGAAAAAAAGTGCGAGAGAGAGGGTGAGAGAAAGAAAGAAAAGAAAAAAACTCCACGGCTCGCGATAAGGAGCCGGCTCGCGTCGTTCACGTCAAAGATCCGGCTCTAAGAGCCATTTCGTTCGCGACCGACACATCACTATCAAACATCACTTCCCAAATCCCGGACATTTCCAAGACAACAGGAAGTCAGGTAGAATCAAACCAGCAGTCACTGAGACGACATCTGGAGTTTTATCAACCCACACTGAAATCAATTATAGAATTCTTTAATTCAGACTAATCACTGGTTAAATTGGATACAATAATATCAGGATGAATTGTTTCTATATGCAGACAGCAGTCAGAGGTTAACTGCAGTTAAACACCTGACAAATGTCATTTTCGAGCTACTTCTCTGCACTCATCTACATTTTGTTCAGTCCTTCCAAACTGAAGCCAGTTCTTATCATGCCCCAAAGGATGGGATACTTTAAAGAATAAGGACATTTTCTGACGTTGGCTCTGGTTAGAGAGTGATGGAATTGACACCGACTCAGCACCTATACTGATAAAGAAGATTTAAAGTATTCAACTAGTACTGATCTACTGGCTGACAAGAGAAACCATAACAGCAACAAAAAACTAAGTTGGTGATGGCCAATAGAAAAATGGGAGTAAGTAGCATTAATATGATGATTTTAGTCTTTTCAGAATTGTTACACCCATTGAAACCAAATCTGTTCGGCCTTATAGCTGTACGAGCCTTTAAAACCTTTAACAGATGTGAGGATATCTCGTGTTGATCACTTAGTTTTTCTTTTTAATTGCTTGTTTTTCCTTCTTACTTTCCTCATCTTTAAAGAGATTAGGTTTAGCTTCAGTTTCAGGTGTACATATACAGACAATGTCATTCCCCCCCCCCTTTCCAGATATTTTTAAGCTTGATGATGTTGGTGGCTGTTATTTAATTTGTGAAAACAGTACTGCTACTATAAAAACCAGTAACGTCTGTTCCCTCTTTGTTTTTCCTCATGGAGGGTTCATGAGCAGCCTCACTGATATAGTTTCGCAATTTTATGGTAACTTCTTCCTTGTTAAGCTACAATTTTAAGTCACATTTCTGACTGGTTTCTTCATTACATTCATTTTACTTTATTTGAAAAAAAAAAAAAAAAAATATGCAGCTACTATTTCATCTCCTGGTCACGTCACTGGGCCAATCGCTCTCAAAATAAATAGCTGCACACAATCCCTAACTCACAGGCTGGACCTTTACCGATACGGACAGCTCAAGATGTGAACAGTTCGATTATCCCTCATCGCTTTTTGACTTGTTTTGGTTTCCGTTTTTCCCTCAGCAGGAAAACAGAAGCAACGTATTTTTCTAGCTTGCTTATGACACTCACAGGGTCAGTGTGTGACTCTAGTTTCCCAGCTTCACTGGGGTTCATTTATGAAATTAGAGCAGATGAAGGATCATCACAAGAATTCATTTAGTTTTATTTAATTTAAATATGAACCTCTTTTTCTCTCTTAAGCCCGCCAGTACCCTCCTATCACACAGGATCCAACCTCCTCCAATCAAATTGCAGGAGTTACAGCAGGATGGGCGGGGCTACCACCTGGAGAGACAATGGCGTGAAGCAGCAGGTGAGATGAAGGGCGAAGGAAATGGCCAGACAGCCCAGAACCCTTTGGGTGCATGTTGGGTCATCATGGCCGACTGTTAGTCATTTAGCACCAGCGAAGAGGCAAGAAAACGGGGTCTCTGATGGAAGTTTGCAGGCGCAAAGCAAATAGAATGTGAGTAAGGGGAAATGCAGTTTTTAGTGCAATTTTTTCCGGTCATGTGATGTCCCAGTTCTCTAATCTACACAAGCTTTGACCAAATGGTATCTGTTGACGGTTTAACCTCTCTGGTGAAATAAAATGATGAATTTAAGTAGCATAAAGAGGTTTTGAAAGGCAGATATTAGTCCCATCTAAAGACCAAAACCTAAAGTAAATGTGTGTGTGAGAATACATTTGCAGAAACCATTTGGTCCTTTCTTGGTGGCATTTCCTGGTTAACTGACACTCTTGTTGGAGAGGTGTTGTGGGCTTGTGCGTTTGAATGAAGCTTTTTAGAAGAAGGCCTCGAGCTCCTCCACAGGTAGCCCTGCTGCATCAGAATGTGTGTCTTGAGTTTCTATGAGAGCTTCTGGTTGGCGAAGAAGGATTTCGCCTCTCCGCAGGTGGGGTTGGTGCACAGCGGACAGCGCAGGGTCAGTTGACGGGAACATGGCTCGTTGGACTTCAAGTGGGACTGGACCAGGTCTGCCAAGGCCTGAACGAGATAAATAAATATCAGCAGTCAGACAAGTATGTTCAAACTCTGCCTCACAGATTAGGGCTCCATATAACCAGTAAACAGATGGCTGGAGTCAGCATTTAAATTTTAAAGGCTAAAAGAAAGTAGGCCATCTTAAGTATAACTTCTACATTGGGCACATATCTGCAAACCTTTCTGAAACCCTACGCTGTAACTAATGCTGTAACCCGGCAAAGCAAATATATATTAAAGCTTTAAAAGGCATAAAGAACACAGCACTGAAGCAATGGTGGTGGTTACTATAATCAGAATTGAAACCTTTGTGGGTAAAAAGCCAATAAGAATCCTTTTCACTGTGTTTGTTTTAAACAGGATTGTACAGCATACATCTTTAATGTCTTAGAAAGACATTAAATAGAAAATAAATAGACAAACAAGAACTTTTAATCCTTTTCTTTAATCCACACAGGCTCAAATATACATGTACACTTAAATCTTTTAATGTTGTGCTATAGGTTCTGCAGTATTTCAAGTTGATAAGGTCAAGGCATATTAACTTCCCGTTAATAGGCCTGGAATAAAGAAGGAGGAGGACTACCTCCAAAATTGTCAAATCAGTAAGACAATAGAACTTTGGACACAAGTGGTTGGTCCAATAAGACAATGATCAAAAACGCATATCAAAACTAGTTTCAAAATAGCAGGCAAACATTAAGCCTTTGGAATAGCCTTTCCGAATCCCCGACCTCAACCGTATTGAAAAATTTGTGGATTATGCTTAAAGCCAGATCTGCACCAGGAGACCAAGTTAAATAAGCTACCAATTCTGCCAAGACAAATGGTATCCATCAACAAGCCTCTGGCAGGATATGTGACCAAAAGCAACTGGCAGAGCTGCTACCTGCATACATAATTAATGTGTGTTTGAAACTGAGAAACAACAATAAATGAATGAAGTTGTGTACCAACTTGTAGTGTTTTTTTTTTTTTAATAAATAGTCATTAAAGATGTAGGCTGTACAATTATTCCACTCTGGAAAAAGAACCGCTCAAAGATATCATTAAAAGCACAGAATTACCACGATGAGTGGATGTGTCTGACCACATCTGTGAGCAAATGAACATTTACTCAACAAGGTTACAAACACAGTGAACATGAACTACAACTTCAGCTAATGCACTAGACTGGAGCGAGTGCACCTATTGGTGGGTGTTACAATAGTCACATGATAGTTCATTCAACTGCTGAAGTGCAAATTTTGTCTTAAGATCCCCTTACACCAAACATACAGGATGACAGGAGCGCTCCAAAACTTTACCTGAACTGTTGTAATTTTAGTCTTACAGGTGACATTTTTTGCAACTCTGAAATTGCTTTAAAAAGTTGTTAGGTGTAGTAATTTTGAGGGGAACTTTTTTTTTTTTTTTAAATGAAGCTTCAACACCAGCCAGAGTGTGCAGTAAAAATCCTGATGAATGCATTTTTCTGTATTTTCTAGCTGCTGCTACTTGCAGACGGCAGCAGCTCACTGAGAAACTAAAAACCACACCAAGGAAACCATCCTTCAGTAACTACCAACTAATCATCCTCTGGATATTGATTCACACACACACACACACACACACACACACACACGGCAAGGGGTCTCTGAGCACGGCGGGCCTGACCAGCCAGCCAGCCGGGCGGTTCAGTTCTACTGTAGTCAGCTCTAAAGGTTCCCATTGATCTGCCCCTTTCCTTTAATAAACCCTGTGCACACGCACGCACAAACACACACGATACAGCTGGAGGAGTTGCCTGTTGTGAGAAGGGTTTCAGGGTTGAGGATGAAGGGAGAGAGGGAGGTGAGAGAGGAAAGGAAGGAGGGATGGAAGGAAAAATAGTGACAATGGAGAAGGAAAGAGATAAAGGATAGAACGAAGGACACAAGGAGGCATTCACTCATTCATTCACCATCTCATGGCTGCAGCTACTTCACAGGACCATCTCTTCTTTTGACCCCCTTACAGATTTCATACTTAAATATGGTTTTATGGGTCTTGCCTGCAAAGTCAAACGAAACAGCCGCTTGCTTTATGTAAATGTATGAAATTTGGCTCACATGTGTGTCATCCCAAAAAGTATAAAAACACCTATGAGAGCCATACCCTGAACACAACAGGAAGGTCCCCATTTTTAATTTACAATGCAACTTTGGTCCAGTTTTAGCAATTTCCAGGCAGTGTACTTTAATGAATTCTTCTTTGCGTTTTTGCTAAAGAGCGTTTCCATGGTGCCAGGGCAAATTTCAATGATTCGTCATGAAACAGTAAAACACAAAAAGTTGCTGCAGCTCAAAACCTGGATCGCCCAATCTGCCCCAAAGTTCATAGATAGAAGTCCTGCCTTGGAACACATGTACATGATAATCTTTGCTTAGAGCGCCACCTAGTGGGAATGGAAATGACAGGTTTCATCATTTTATGCAGTTCGCCTAGAAGGTTAAATCACATCCACCTCATTCAGATTCAGAAGTTTTACTGTGAGAACTAACTTCTTATATATGTTATGTGGTAAAAAGCTCTATGGTGCCAACGAAAAGGTTTCACCTACGACAGGAAAGAAATGTCATATGACATGAACATGCCCCACGGGAACATTGCAGCATACCTCAACTTTATCTTTGCTCGTTTCTTCTTCTACTGTACATATACTGTTGTCATTTACTTTACTCGTCCTTTCTGCTGGCATTAATAGAGAAAAGGTTTGATGACAGAGCTGTAAGTTTGCAAGTTTGAAAAGAAATCTGAATATTTTACAGTCTGGGAACATGAGTGAAAATTTATCTACCAATTGAAAACTCACACTTATTCTTTTGTATTAAGGGGTTGAACATTTTTCCACATTTATTTGCACCTTTTAATAATTACCCGTTGTCAGTCTTCATATTGTTTTACGAATATATATGCAAGCTGGATCTGCATTCTTTCCAATGACCAGCAGAGGGCAACTCCTTTGGTTATAAAATAGAGCCGCAACTACATAGAAGTCTATGGGAAAAACAACTCTACTTCTCACTTGATCTGTGACCTCAGTGAAGAGTTTCTTGATGGGTTTATTGTCCAAGTTGCTCATTTTAACTGTTATTTGATTGATGATGATGCTCATTTTGTCAATTATGGTCATATTTGAAGTAAAAAGGACTGTATAAAGGGCAGTCGGTGGTTAACAACTCCGTTTCTGAGATATATGCAACACTTGCATATGACATTAGAGCCAAAATGCTCAACGCAAGGGATCAAAACATGACTTTAAAAACCAGCGTGGCACTTCATGTTAGGCATCTGCATTTCTTTTAAAGAAAATCTTTGTTCTGCAAACATGGGTCAGGTTAGTGTGTGACAGGTACCTTCATAAAGAGAGGGTTCCCATTCAATGACTCGGCCCTCCTGATGTTCTCCACCCCACACTGGAAAGAAAAATAACAACACATCACAAATGTTCATAACATCTTAGAAAACTGCAAAATTAGGGGACAAACCCTCCCCCCCCTTTTCCTCATTCCTTTGCTCCTGTCTGAGTTTCTGTTCTGAACGTGGAGTCAGAACACCAAAGAGTCTCTTGATTGTGGACTTAAAAGGTCAGCATTTGCTGCTTTACTCCATTTTATAGCTTTATGCAGTCATTCGTTTGGCTTTTGAGCTTTAGAAACTCAATAGACCCAAAGAGAAAATGCAGTCACTGCCACAGCTCATATGTGATTCACGACCACAACACATCAGTTAAAATGATCGTCATGATATTCTCCAGCCCACTGGGAAAAACTGGAACTGCACATATCTACCAACAATTTAGACTCACACAGAAAAAAGGTAGTAAACGCTCAGTTAATGCGACAGTCTTGTTTTGGAGTAAATTAATCCAAACACGAGGAATTTAATACATCAGGTGTGTAGAGGTGTTATACATTTTTGGTGGAGTATGTTTTTTTTTTTTTAGCATTTCAGACCTCAAAACTTGGGACTGGAAGACAGATGTGTTTCTTCAGGTTCAAGTTTAGAAACGATTTCGATGGTTCCTCATGGATATAAGCATGTGTATCTTTATGGCACCAGTCACATTGATTGGTGGCCATTTTACTGGTGCCTTCAGACAGACAGAGGGCACTGGGCTGCTGGAAACAAACCTCACACACATACACACACTTTAGCTAACCAAAACAACCAGTACAAAGACCTTAGCCCTAATTGTAGATCACAAATGCATAAATACGTTTCCCCTATTTAATGAATCTTTCTAAGGACTTTAGAGAAAGAGCAGGTCTGGGTAATTGACTTTCTGCCTGCTTCAGTTTATTTCTTCAAAGGCTGCTGCAGATTTATTCTGTTCTTTTAAATCAGTATTTATGTACCGGTTAATTTTTACATAAAACTGAGGAAATGTATATAAACACTGCTTTTTTCCCCTCTCACCTCTTCTCCCAGCACTTGTCTGTACTCGATGTCCAGCTCGTGTAAGGTCTCTATGTGGTCCGAAGTGAAGGCAATGGGCACCAGCAGCAGGTTCTTCTTCCCTCGCTCACACAGACCTTTGATCACCTCGTCTGTCTGGGGACCGAGCCACGGCATGGGCCCCACCTGAGAGACCACACACAGGACATGGCTGACTTAAGTTCTATAGATGGATGACGTGTCCAAGGTCGTTTCAGGTGTTCCTGGTTCAGTGAGGACGTAAACGACCCCGTGACCTTTCTTGAAATCCCATTAAATATAAAATAAATAAAACTGATACCATGATCTTCTTGCAGGAAGGCTATCTCTGGTACCCTGTGTTACTCTATGTACCACATACTGTGCATTTTCACCCTGTTGGGTTATTCATTCTGCCCTACAGGTAGCCAGTGACAGCTCAGACTCCTCTTCCACTGTGAAATTTTTATCATCTGTGAATTATGTAAGCTGCCAGGCCCTGTGACCTGAGCACTGAGGAGCTTTGAGGGCTTCTACTCTGAAATAGCAAAAATATTAGTCAGACAAGTGGCTCCATCTTGTGGCAACACAAAACACAAAAGCAGGCCGGCCAGGTCTAAATAATATTAATAGTTTAGCTGCATGTAAGTATAATAAGAAGGTAAAGCTGGATTGGAAGAGTCTGTCTGCAGAACTAAAGAAAAACTGAACACATTTGCCAGGAATGTGAGCACTGCCCAAATCTATTCTTACCTATGGTGACCAGATGGGCTCCTGCTCATGTAGGAAATAAAGCATTTTGTCACCGATGGTGACATAGGGGACAGTCTAGGCTCCGGTTGCCTAGGTGACATTGAGTATTTCCCATAGAAAATCCCAAGTTAAACTTTACTGAACTTTTAGGCGAATGGAGCGACTACCTATGAGAGCAAAGGATGCTCTTATCTGTATTTTGATGGTGTGGCAAATAAAATAGAGGGTTACCTAGGCAACTGGAGTCTGGAACGTCCCTTAGCAACAACCAGGCAGCTGCAAAGTTAAAAGTGATGAGCAAATTGTTTCTTGTGTTGATGCCCCCCTTACTTGGAACCTGCCCACTCTGCATCACTAGTGGTCACTTAATCCATCATTACTCAGTCGCTGAATGTCACAGACTTTCTTTGGCCTGTGGTGACCATGTCGCTATGTGCGTTTTTGTCTTAAGTCAGGCTCAGGGTGAAATAATGCCAAAAAGTAAATAAATAAACCAAACAAACAAACAAAAAAAGCATTTTGACAATGAAAGTTGTGTGAAAAACAGCAAAGCATACACTCAGTGAATTTAAACCATATTGATAAGCATTACAAACTGATGTGTGATCAGTGTTGAGTATGCAGCGTTACCTGATTATTACAGCACACTGTCACCACTAGGTGGTGCTGCTGGTTTATTCAATTACGTAGCGAGTGATGTTTACTCACCCTGGACTGCCACACCAGTCTGTAGGGGTTACAGTGACCCAGTCTTTCCATGACCCTCTGAACTGTGGCTCCCACCTCCTGAGGATACGGGTCACCTCTGTTTACAACCTGCAGCACAGGGCACACAACAGCACGGCGCTAAGCAACATTAACACATTAAGCAGTTCCTGAATAATGTGCTGGAAGAAAGTACTTCATCTGGACAAAAACCTTCTGTTGCCTAATGGCATGGTTCAAAGAAAGCTAACAAGGCACGAGGAAATCAGATCTCTCATCTGAGAAGCTTGGCCTATCACAGAGTTTGGGACTTTCCTGGATTTAAAGTGTGAGTAGTTACACTGAACTGCTGGTGACATGTTGGATATAGATGCCAAAGATGTGCTGTCAAACTAACCAATTAAGCAGCAGAAAACAGTTTTATAGGCTTCCTAACAGCAAAGACAAACTGAATTTGCACTGATTTCTGTTGAGATATTTCAGGTTTTTCATCTGTTTTGATGAACCGTCAGGTAACAAATCGGAATAGTTTTTAAAGTGTACTTCTTTACACGAAAAGAAAATGAAGATGAAGTGGATTTTGTTTTCTAGAGATAAATACTACTACTCCATTGTGAAAGGAAATGCCTATACTGAGAAATATCAGTAAATTTTAGTAGTAATTTGTGGAAAGCACATCAGTTTTTATAAGAGTGTCAGTGTCAGTACCATCTGATCAGGGTCATCAGTAATAAGGACCAGACCCCACTCTGGCTTCATTTGTTCCTTTCCAAGAGTCAGTCCCCAGAAACTGTGACAGCAAATGCCAAACTTTACAGTCTGGTGACAAAAACCTGTTCTCATTTTTATAATCCACCCATTCAAATGTATTAAAGTTTAAAAGTTGGGGTGATGGGTGTGATACCGACAGCTGCTGCAAGCTGGAGTCACTTCACTCGATTTTATGACCCTTTTAAGCCTTTTACTTGAATTATCTGAGAAATATAATGAGTGTTATGCAGTACAGAGCTTAGAGAAGTCTGTGGTCCAGTTCTGGTGAGTGAAACTTGAGTATTTTATTAGCATGTTACTTTGACGCTAGAGCAGTACTGATAGTAGTTTTTCATACTTACAGCCATGGGCAGTGAGTGTGCCGAGAACAGAATGACAACATCATCTCTCTTATCTTCTGGAAACTTCAGCAGTTCATTTCTGATATGTTCTGCAAAACACTGGACACAGACACACACACTTAGGGTGTATTATAAACACAGCTAGTGAAATTTACCTCAGCTGATAAAACACAGTCAGGACAAAAAGCTGCCATGATCACCCACCACAACTGCTTTCTGGTCATTTAGCTGCGTGGTGACTTACTGACTGTTTTCTTACACACTATATTACCAAAAGCATTCACTCACCCAATCAAATATACCAATCTCTCCCACTGCCACAGGTGTATTTATTTATTTAAAAAAAAAAGAAAAGAAAAAAGGCACCCCTGGGCATGCAGACTGCTTCTACAAACATCTGTGAAAGAATGGGTCGCTCTCAGGAGCTCACTGAATTCCTTTCTGCACAGAGTCCTGACCTCAAACCCTCTAGGATGAATTAGAGCAAAGACTCCAAGCCGGCCATCTCGCCCAACCCAACATCAGTGTCTGACCTCACATGTGCACATGTGGAAGACTGGTCAAAAACTCTCATGAACACTCCCAAACCTTATGGAAAGCTTTCCCAGGAGAGCTGAAGCCTTTACAAACGGTGGGTCAAAAATCATACTAAGCCCTATGGATTAAGAATGGGATGTTACTCGAGTTCATATGGATGTGAAGGCAGACGAGTGAATACTTTTGGCAGAATCGTGTACATCAGTACTAGTTTGTTTTACTTTGCATGTGTGTACACACATGTTTAGACATCTTTGTGAGGACAGAAATTGGCCTCCACTGTACCAAATGCCCGTCCCAACAAGTTTGAAGGCAGTTTTGCAGCTTAAAATGTGGTTGTAGTGTCAGGGTTAGAATTAGCCTAATCATAAGGGTTAGGGTAAGCGGCTAAGGAAAGCATTATGCCAATTAGATGTCCTCACTAAGATATGAAAATGAGTGCGTGTGTCTCTAACCTCCACCAACAGAGGGTGTGTGGGCCAACGGTCGATGACACTCCAGCGCATTTTCGGCCTGTCAGCTCTGTTGCTGTAGTAACGGTAGATGGCGTTCAGACTGCTGCCTGTGAGCAAAAGAAAACACATTGAGAAATACTTCATTACACAGGAATAAAATCTCTCTGCTGCTGCCAATCACTAATCAATAAATTTCCTCAAAGTTTCTTCCTCAGATGCATATTTTGTAACCCAAAAACAGTCTGTGGTAGGGCTGAACGATATATCGCATTTGCGATAATATCGCGACATGATCAAGTGCAATTTTCTAACCGCAAAGGCTGCGATTATACTCTGGACATGTCCAAATTCATGGGCTGCATCCTCCTGAGGCCGCATTTGTAGACCGATTACGTCACAGCGACGCGCCGAAGGCTGTCCAAATTACTACCATATCCCAGAATTCATAGCGCGGCCCAGCCAAACTCCAGTTTCCAACAATGGCGGCCGCTACTAAGTTTTAAAATTACTCATACTAATCTTTCTGGGTCACAAAATAAACTTTTAACATATTTTCAGGCGAGAAAGTAGTTGTGTAAACATCAAATATCTGCTCGGTTTATCAAGATATCCCATATTTGCAAAAGTGCTTCGACGTTTTCAGAGGCGTCTGCTACCCACCAGCTCGACAGCTAGCCGGGAGCTCGAGGGTTACTGATGCGGCCGAGAACGGCACAACTCCCGGCACATCATTTTCAGATCACCGCGGAGTTTCGCTGCTCGGGTTAAACGTAATATATAAGTCACTTAGACAACCTAAAAATGTTATTGTTGGGCTTTTTTCAGTGTTTTGTTTGTTCGTGAGTAAATCGGTTTGGCTGAGATTAAAGTTATTAGATTAGATAAAATAAAACTTTATTAATCCCCCGGGTGGGTTCCTCCATGGTTTTCACACAGCTGACTAAACGTCAAACAGAAAACTTATTAAACAGAAGTATGAGACAGTCGAGAATTTACACCAGTGTCCCGTTATATTTTAGATAGCAAGAAGCAGACGGCCGAGTTTATTAAACTCCACCGAGACAGCGGTGACGCTAATCAGAACTAGACCGTCCAATTTCACGCCTTTAAATTTTAAAGGCGTGTTTGTGTGTGTGTTTATACAATTGCTATTATGTTTGCACTTTATGTGTAATGTTACTGACTGCAGAGATCAGTAAGATGTGTGTATTTTTTATTTATTAGTTTTATTTATTTAATATTATTTTTTAATTGAATGACTCTAGTAGTTCACAGATGTCGAAAAACTGAGTGTGGTAAAGCCACTGATTTTTTTTATGTATATTTCTGCAATCTGCACATTGTACTGACTTTCATTTTAATGTTTACACCAGGGTTCCTTGTCAGCACTTTATGCTCAGATGTTTGTAAGCTAAAAATAAACTATTGTGTATGTTCAAATATACTGTTGTGATTGAAGAAGCTAAATAAAAATGTCAGTCATCAATTCATGCATCACCTCATGTCATCATAACAGAGGTCTGTCTTCCAGGAAAGAACAGTTTAAAATTAATGTAATATAGTATTGGCCATACTATATGATGTATTGCTTGTCTTTGTTTAATAATACAGAAGACAAAGACCTTAAAAAAATAATCGCATATCGCATCGCAATCGCAATATTGGGGCAAAAAAAATCGCAATTAGATTATTTTCCATAATCGTTCAGCCCTAGTCTGTGGGCACGGATTCATGGATGGATTGTGGGTTTGAAGAGTGTGCCTGCCTCACGTGTGAGCTGGGCGTTCTTGGAACAGTCTGAGAACATGCTGAGTGTGATTTAGTCTGGAGAGAACAGAGTGTATTTATCAGGAGCTCGCAGAGCAGACAGCACCCTGGGTGTGGCGGCATTAACGGACACAAACGTCTGAGTAATCTTCTGATTGTTCCTTTTACATGTTCTCTACATTTAACAGACATCATTTCCTGCTTGTGTCACCTGTGGTGGAGCAGCTGTACTGAGGATACTGCGTGAAGGCCACAGCTCTCTCCACTCCCTCTTTCTCCATCTCCTCAATGGCTTCCTCCGTCAGCGGGTGAACGTACCGGAAGCCGATGTAGAACTTGTGAGGAGCTGTGCAGAGAGAAGAAACAGCCAATGACCAGACAGCACGGGAGAAACTCACTGGCAACATTACAGTTTGAATATGCAGGATATGCAGTTTAATTGAAATCTTCAAATAAAAATAACATTTCAGGAGCTTAAAGGGAGGTTTTTATGAAGATTATCGTGCTTTTAGACCAAATTCTAACAGATCTGGTCAGCTTTCAGATTGCTGCTGTGTTATCAGTGAGGTGTGCTGCAGGCGTGTGAGGAGACACTCCTTCGCTGTCTTACTATCTCCATTTCACACACACTTTGCCAACAACAGCCAAGCAAACCATAATCTCAATAAAAGCACACAAACTGCCTCCAAACATGACTTTAACTCCATGTAAGCTGTCAGATTTGAGGAGGAGCGGAGGCCTCTGTGAGGCATCCTCACCCGTCTCAGGGCTCATCTCGTCCAGCAGCTTCACCATGCCCTCCCCCTGCATGGACGTCCAGTGTTTGATGGGCGAGCCTCCTCCGATCTTGCTGTACTGCTCCTGGATCTTCGGTGTGCGCCGCTTGGCGATGAATGGGCCGAGTTTACTGCAGAGCGGGAGGCAGATCGCACAGCTGCAGTTACACAACTCACACTTAATGCATCACAGATTTAATACAGTGAATTATTGCGCAGCAACGAAGAAGAAGAAAAGCAAATGACCTGTAACAGCACTATAACGTGTGATTTCTGGAGCTTTAAAGGGTCAAGGTTCATTATTAACATTTTCAGTAAGATGTGCAGTTTCCATGGACACGGAGGTGAGATTCATGTCCACAAGCGTCACCAAACACCAGACAATAAATCTAGTTTAGAGTTTCCAGCATGGACTTTCTGCAGCGAGAAGCAAGAAGCACTAACGTTTGCACCGTTTTTGTGTTTCCCACCCCAGGGAAACCTGTCAGACAACTCTGCTCAAAATGGCCAGAAGCAAGAAAGGTAAAGTGACCACCAAGTACACAATGATGGCAGGAATTTATTATTTTAACATTTCTATTGTCAGGTCTAGTTGGATTCATCCTGTTACATCATGAAATGCTGTTGTAGTCCAACGAGCAGATGCTGCATGGATGAACAAACAGACCTTACTGAGCACTGGTGCAGGGTTACAAGGAGTTTGTGCCGTCATATTTGAGCATTTTAAGAGGCCAAACAATAAAACAGAAACACAAAACGGTCTAAAATTATACAAAACATGCACAACACGACCCCCTAGCAGGTCAGTATTATTCTGTCCAGCTTCTGAGGATGGTTTGTCTCAGTGCTGGACAACATGGAGACGGACACTCGTGTTGTTTTCTTACACAGAGCAGAGATTACAATCATGACACTTAAAAATAAATAAATAAATAAATAAAAGGAGATTCTTCACACAAAGAGCTTCACTTCTGGGTGAAATAGAAGTTAAAGGGAGGGAGCTCTGCTCTGTGAGGTTATACTTAGACACAGCTGTCATTTGACCCCCTGCTAATGTTAGCATGCTGAAATGCTCACCATCCTAACCCGGCATGTTAGCAGCAAACAAAGAGGAGCAGTGGCTGATGGGAATCTCTCTGCTTTACAGTCAAACAGCTTCAAGTGTAAGAAAGGCTTAACCCCCGAGGTCCAACCGAGGTCAGCCGACTGACAGACAAACGCGTTTAGTCATTTGTGCTTCAGTTACAGTTCGACTTTGACATTTCTTCAGTGTTTTAAAAATGTTCCAAAACTGTACAGAAAGTTGCATCATGTGCATTTATGTGCAGGGCAGCACGGTGGTGCAGTGGCCAACCCCATCACCTCACAGCATGGGTCCTTCTGTATGGGTACCCCAGCTTCCTCCCACAGCCCAAAACCATGCACGAGGCCCTTCAGCAGACTGGTGAGCTGTCCAGGGTGTACCCCGCATCTTATCCTGTGACAGCCCCACCCCAAGACCCTGAACTGGATGCATTAAGCGGGTCTTAATTTCTGGAAAGCTCTTCACAGAGTGAACTCAGTTCAGATCAAACTGCTGGTTTGGAATGACGTCCTTGGTTAAGTCACAGGACACATTTGCACCCAAATATCCAGACTTTCGCTATAGCGCTTCATTCCCTCGGGGTCGGGACCGCCCGAGGTCTAAATAAAGTCAATAAGTGGCTCATAAAACATTCATATTGAGGTGGAGCAATCTTTGAAGTCAAAGTGTGTGATCTTGGGTCAGTCACGCCTGCTTTAAAAAGGATCAGTGCTGCTAAAAACCACAAAGATTTTTCTTCTCAGTGGGACGTTATGAAACACGGACACAGCACAGAGCCGTCACCCAACAAACTTCCTCAAACCCCCCGCCCCCACTGTGTGTGCTTACATGTGTGTAAACCCAAAAATAAAGCAGTTGCTTTTAATTCATCACATATTTCATGTAACCAAGTCGCCAGGTTTGTTGAAACATAAATTCAATCTAAACAGAAAACATCTGGGGAGTTTCAGAAAAGCACGAGAGCATAACATAATCCACTAGATCCCCACAAAGCCCTGCTGAAATAATGATGACAGAGGACTGTTTGAAGGAAGGACCTCTTATCAGAGCTTTATATCCTGTTTACATCCTGTCCACCGGAGAGTTCACATTACGAGCTAAATGCATGGAGCGAGCGCTGGGAAACCGAGATCCCAGCTGTTAAACACCGACCACCTCAACTCTAAGGTCAGCTGTTTGCGTCACTATATTTTGTGTTCACATTTGCAAATAACTCCTTGCATTTAAGGCAGCGTGATCTCTGTGTGCGTACTTCTGTACTGGGAGTTTCATCAGGTCTGTGTCCATGAAGAGGCGTAACAAGAAGTCGTGAACATCTTCTAGCTTCTCGGGTCCTCCCATGTTCAGCATCAGGATCCCCGTCTTCGGCTTCCTGCAGACAGGAGAGAGTCACGATCAATAATTCACATCTAACACCCCTAAAAGATGTGACACTGTGTAGAAACTGTGCACTAGGCCAAATCTAGGTCAGAAAAATTATGGATGGAAGCCAGGGGGACTGGGAAGATATTTCAAGGGGGAGCTTCTGTTAGGTAAATTTAATCGTTTAAGAACAAAAGGCATAAATTATTGGAATAAATAATGAAAAGTTGAGCCAAACAGGATCTAAACCAGACTCAGTGCTTCAATGCGTTTACACCCCACAAAGTACAAAGTCAGGTCATTCAGCAGTCTGTATTTTAATGTTAATCAATTGCAAATTAACAAATCTGATCTAGAGTTTAGGGCTGTACTATATCATACCGTTCACGGTAATACCGGTGTAATTTTGGGCAACGATAGGAAAATGAAATATCGCGATAGAATATGGGTAAAACGCGCATGAGCAGTGCCTATGTTTACATAAGCACATGGCGGCGACGCAGAATGAGAAGAGCGAAAACAGATCGTTGAATGAAACGGATGAATCAGAATTGGTTTGTAAAAATGCTGCAACTTCAGTGGTGTGGAACTGGTTTAGCTTTCGTCTGTCAGATACACAACAAAGCACTATTTTTGGTAGAGCATGCTAGCGGGCCGTCGTTATTACCATGTTGTTTGGAAAATACGGCACACTTAAAATCAATCCTTTGATTTTTCTGAAAATCAACAGGTCCCCTTATAATCCCGTGTGCCTTATGTATGAATTCTGGTTGTATTTACTGACCTTGAAACGATTTTATGTACACGGCGCTCGAAAATCTGTCAAATGTTTCAGTACGACTTTGCTAAGCTACGAAGCCGCACCGCTTGATGGATTGTTGGAGCAGTACGGCTATCATAGGCAAGAGCCTCGCGGAGGGATACGTACTGTGCTTCAACATAATATTACCGTATTGTGTGTGTATAACCTCTTCAAGTTTTGTGGATATTATACATGGTTATGCTGAGGATCTGTCGGCCAATTTCCACTGGAAATGTCTTTTGGTTAAACTGTCAGCAAGGATTTTGCATTTGCACTGTTACATTTTTATATAACTTTAATGCACAAAAAAAACAGCTGCTTATTTAAGTGAAAATACATTGACGGGTTTTTGCACTGATAAAAGTTGTGGAGTTGTAAAGTATTTTGTCTAGTGTCAATTATGTCGTCAGTTATATCGTTATTGCAAATTTTCAAATGTATATCGTGATAAATGTTTTTAGTCATATCGCCCTGCTCTACTAGAGTTAATAAAGGTTATTTATCTTTCTTTCCTCACACACAACAAGTTCTGATGTTTATGCCCACTTCTCATTAACAAAAATGCATTTTATGCTTTAATAAATGAAAGTCCAGTTATGAAAATTGGTAGTGAAGGGTAAACATTTCCCCTAACAGAAGAAAACCTGCTTGGAGGAGACGCCAATGTATTTATGCACAAAAAACTGCATAAAAGCATTTATGCTGTAGACCAATGTGGGCAAAGCTCAGCAGGAATTATCTGCCTGCTGCTTTTCCATCCTCTGACGCTACATCACTGCAGGCCTTACAGCCGTAGCAGCTCCGAGAAACATGTTTCACTGCTAAGGTTTTAAACCCTTCAGTGAGCTTTGAACTCCAATAATCTGCTGTCGCATTCATAAATATAGCTCAACTGTCAGCTCGAGGAGGACAGAATTTTATAAAGAGGCGTGAGGCGGGTCCTGTGTGAGAAGATGTCGACAAACTGGTGAAAACAGTCCCTGTCATTTCTAATGAACCGCAGCAGGTCAGACCAGGAGAAACGATTTCACAGAAGATGAAAGGAAATCCACCATTATTTGTTCTTTAATCATTACAGGACGTCTTCTCCCCTCCTCACTCCTGACAGGCTTTCACCTTCTTTTAGACTCAAGATGCTTTGTGAAACGTGTTTTTTGTGTTTTTTAGACAAGGTCAGGAATCTTTGTGTACACAGCCCTGCACACTGGTGTGGAGCGGTTTTATTAGACTTTGCTTCTGAAATAAAAGGAATAAATCAATCAATAGGAGAGCAGCTAAAGCAAACTTAACATAGATGATAGAAAGTACGAATCTATCGGGCTAGTATCGAT